CAGGTAAAAGATGAAGAACTGTTTTATGTCTCAAAAACGTAAAAACTATTCATCTTTCCCGTTTCAGTTAACACTTATGTATGACTTTGTGTTGGTTTATCACATAAATTCCCACTAATTTAGATTGCGGTTTGTCGTAACTTAACAAAATGTGAAAAAATTTAAGGGACATAAATACTTTTGCAAGGCTTTGAATACGTACACAAGAATAAAATACAATCCCCTTTCTTCTCTATACACACATCAGATTCTGAATAAAGTCATAGCCTCTATACACAATAGCAAACAAAACAGTCATTAGTAGATTTCAGGCTCCCTTTTAGGTCTGCTTCTCGCCGCTGTTGGTGTACCCGCGCCTCTGGGGTGGCGCCGCAGCTGTAGGTTTTAATAAAAGCATTGTCTTTGGAAGTTGTCTGAAGGGACTTGGTTTCATTTTGGAGGGCTGCTGCCGCTGCTGCACTTGCCATAGATGCAAGAGGAGAGAGGGCTATTGCGCTGGGACGCGGGGGCTAGGAGGTTCATTGTCATTGTGGGACCCTCGAAGGACCGAATCTTATTGTTTGATAGTTTCAATATACAATCTGTTGGTGTGTGTGTGTGAGAGAGTGAAAGAGCGAGAGAGAAAGTGTGCATACTTCCTCCATTCATACAATGTATCAATTTGGCCAATGGAAACTTGTGTAAAACTCAAAGCACACAGCTGACACAAACCACTGCATCAGCTTTCTAATAGATTCACAGCATTTTCTATTTCGCAACAAGAAGTCATATCGATAAAACACTCACTGTGCTTTGTGTATGTGCATCCACACAAGCACACAAAGAAGTGATACAAAGCAAACTCTTTTGGTTTGTAGAGAGATGCATTTACCATACCCATAAAACCAACAAGAACTATTAATGCTCCACTGTTCTACCATGAAACTGTGCAGTGGTAACAGGACACTCAGTATAATGAGTTATCTTTCTACTACACACAGGTGTCCATTAAGTCTTTGGGCTGACCAGTCTGTGACACCATTCAGTCAACAGTTACTCCATCTGTCAGAATTCAAATACCTTGGAACAAGACCCTCAAGGGGACATTTATGTCATCCATGATGGACAATAACAGCCTGCTCTCAACAGGAGTGCAATGTTTCGCCCATGATGAGGTCAAATCAAATGTTAATGTCTGGATTTGGAACCACAATTTGTTGCAATCCTCCCCGTTTTGCCTCTGCTCCCACAGGCACCTTCAGATGCCATCAGCAGAAGCAACATGGTCACATCTTTAAAAAGGCAAAAGGAAAGAATGAGTAAGGCTATCCAGACACCAGCAGTAGAAGAAAATCCTAATTGTGCCTATAAGTGTGTTCCCTCCTGTGGAGCGAAGGTGCAAGGTAACGGCCATCTTAAATCACAGCCTGGCTGTGGCCTTCATTAAAGCCATAATGCCAGGCTCTCCCTTTAATGGAAATGGAAGGCAGAGAGGCTGTTGGTGTAAATTAAAGTGTAAGGCCCGAGTAGGGAAAGATTTCCCCAGCTCTGACAGGTGCAGCCTGAATTAGCTGTAGTGCTGTTCGAGCAGTCAGTGGGAGAACACTGGTATTGATTTTAAGCACTGTTGCACTTCCTATCTAAAAGGGAATGTGTATTACCAGAGCTAAGGACTTCAATCACTCAGCATTCGACCACTGTCCCCTGGCATGCTTCAGATTTGAAATGATAAACAAACAGAAACAGACCAAAACAAAAGAGTGGAGCTGGATGCATCGGTCCTGTATGGATGATGCTCATACGCATCAGAATAAATCTCACAACAGACATCTGGGCGTGCATGCCGTTGGTCCACTTCATTTAATCTTCCTTGTGTTGACAGGATGCCATCTCTATTCAGGGCATGTCCTGCATTGTGTGTCACCTTGGTCAAACAGCTGGCGTCAGCTCCTTGAGCTCAGGCTGCGGCTCACTCCTCTGTTTATGACCTGCATGTGTCAGAGCAGTAGCATGCGTGCAGCGCTAGTGGTGCAGCACTGTGCCGCTCTGTGTATGACCCCGCTGCTTATCTCTGCTTTCCATCATACCCCGCTGACCCAGTCTAGAGATGCAAGCTGGGAAAGAATTAGCCTTCTTAGCCTATTCCTCAGAGGGGTCAACCCACAAATAGACACGCAAACTTCACAGCCACAGCGAGACGCAATGCATGCGCCGTGCAATTTGAAACAACAAATAATGCAGGATCACTTAACTGCAGGTTTTCCTGGCTGTGACCTCTCACACATGACCTTGAACGTAAAGCTTTTCACGTAAAAGGCTGCCAATCAATCAGATCCAATCAATCACACGCAAGATGACATTCTTTCATGCTCCACCATCCATCACTACACCAACCCTTTCACTGACATCAACAAAAATAAAAACACATGAAAACAGTTCTTCCCGTCTTTCACACTTGGAAACCCACCCAAACATACACACACATACACGTACATACCATGTCATGGATTGATGGCTGTGATAAGGCATCGGATGTGTTGTCAGGTGTTTTGTTATCTCTGTAAGTGCACTCTTGGACATACTCTCTGGTGACACATCTGAGCTACCACAACACCTGGACCAAAACACGGCCAGCATGAGCCACCTGGGAATTGACCAGCAGACCCTGTGGTGACAGACTGTAGCCAGGAGCAACTTGTGAAGAGTTTGTCTAAAAAGTCACAGCATCAAGCCTCGCTCATTTTCAGCCTGTCTCAGTCTGTGCTTCTAAGTGCCAGGATTTCTGACGTTTTTGATGCTCTGACAATATGAGTAACCCATACTCATATTGCAAAAAGTAGCATTTCAGCTTTTTGCAATGAAAAGACAGTATCAAAGGTGAAATGTTACCCACTGTGGAGCCTTTGAATATCCACACAAAATGTTTTTCAACATTTTGTCTTGTCACAACCACAAACTTCAACCTATTTCAATAAAAAATTAATTGATAGATTAAAAAAATTACAAAGAAAACTAGCTAGGCAATTTTACAACACAAAGATCATTTTATTGCAGGTCAGGTTATATATATATAGTAATTGGCTAATGAAAGGTGAAAGGTTTTTTCTGTTTTGCAGGATTTTTTTTTAAATTAATTTTGTTGTCAGTGTTGACCAGTTTGTCTCCTTCACAGAAAAGCATACCAAAGCATAATACTGCCACTGTCATGTTTCACTGTGAAGACAGTGCATTTGCTCTTTTCCACTATACACATTTCTTGTGAGTCAAAAAGTTGCTCTTTCATGTTCTTCTTGTCCCAATGCAAGAGTTATGAAGTGCTCTACAGATTGTATTGAGAGAATATCCCACTTTAGCTTTGGATCTATGCAGCTCCTCAAGAGTAACCATGAGCCGTTTTCTCTTATAGTTGACCAGTTCTTCCATTGCCTGTCAGTTTAGGTAAAGGCCAAGTTGTGGTGGATTTAAAGAAATTAATAATTTGTATAAGATACTTAAAGTTTGAGATGATTTAACCCTGCTTAAAATGCTGTATTTATAATTTTTAGGATTATTTGGTATCATAATGGAAGGCAAGTGGTGGTCTGGTGTGACCGTGTGAATGCTAGGTGAATGTGTGAATGACTGAATGTAGTGTAAAGCATTTCGGGTTCCTCTGGACTTGATAAAGTGTTATACAAGTATAAGTCATCTACCAATTATTGAATGTCAAAAACCATATATCCTTTTCCTTCTGCCTCACAATTATGGCTGACTTTGTTTTGGTCTATCAAATAAAATTCAATAAAATACACTGTGGTTTGTGGTTGTAATGCCACATAATGTGAAAAAAGCTCAAGAAATATGATTACTTCTGCAAAGCACTGTATGCAGGCCCACATCTGAAGATTTATAGGCTTTACGCTGAACTCTAATTAATTGATTCAGAAACTGGTGGTTCTCCTTGATTAGGAAAAAACAAAACAAAAAAACAAAACAAAACAAAAAAAAGTAAGACAATACACAGCTCTTTCAGTCGGTAATTACACAGGCGAACATTTTCTAATTGCCAGTCTCTTTCTGCAGAACTCTTATCAATGGCTCTCAAACGCAGAAGGAGGAAGGACAGGGGGAGCAATGGGCCCATGAACATTTACACATGGTGAGAATTGTCCGAAATGCCAAATAAGCAATCCCGGCTCTCTAAATAGATGCAAGCAAAGATTCTTATTCCAAATGCATGAAGGTGTACATTTTCAGAAAACTGTGTGAAACAGGGTGCGTTGGCTATGGCAATGAAATGATTGGCTTGTCTGACAGCTTGACAGTAGTCATGACAGTCCACAACAGGCCAAGGATGTGAACCCTCCTGCTGTCTGATCTTAGTAGATTAGTCAAAGCAACTCAAACAAAGAGCAATCTAGTGCTGTCAAGTGTCAAAGTCATATGCATTATCAATATTCATCCTGAATATGATAAATAAATACATTACACACATTCCTGCCACCAACACACTGCCTAACATTAAGTTTTATGGGCTGAAGTTAACTGAAAAGCCAAGGGGGTTATTTTTTTTTCCGTCTATATGAATACATTAACGAGCCGGGTGAAGTGCAATTTCAGAAACCCCTACACATTTCCAAATATCATAGTTACACTTGGCATTTTATTCCACATGTGGGTGTAACTTGTGACCTCGACTGCTGAGTGCTGAACGTGCCGACAGATCGAAATGTATTAACATACCACTCAAAAGCAGATGTTGTGCTAATGCCTGTTATGTTAATTGGCATGCTAAAAGGCAGTTATTAGTCAGTATTAATATTCCGTGATGTATTTGGAAACTGTGAACTTTTCAAAACAGCAATCAGCAGCATGTAAAATTAAACATCCCCACCCTGAACTTGAGGGCTTGTGCAACTGTCTTAAAAAGATATGTAAAATGAATTATGGTAATTTTTGTTCCTTGAATGGAATAGTTTTGAGGCTGTGAATTAGAAAAAAAAATGTATGTTTAAAAGAGGGCAGCAATGTAATTGTCTTACCTTGTTTTAGGGGATGTCGTTAGCCACTCTTCATGCTTTTCAAATGTTATCAAGTAAGCTGCAATCTCCTGTGAAACAGAGAGGAGAGAAAAAGAGTAAGGCTTGAATATGTCATCTTTAATCACTGTTCTCTTGTGTTTGTAATACATTTGTGAGACTGCTTCATTGATATTCAGACAGTCTAACCAGCAGAACAAACACGGCAAAAGATGGAAACCGGGGCAGCGTCGGGGAGTTCAGGCAGGTAAGCGCACCCGGATAGAAGTAAAATGAAAGACAGAAGTGGGATGCAGCTGAGGTCAGATCATCTTTTGAGACCATCTTTGTTATGAAAGCTTTGATCAAGTTCTCCTCTGAGGACATCAAGGTGCTCTCAGAGAGATTGACATCTCTGTGTTTAAGAGTGAAGAGCTTTTAACATTTTAGGTCCGATCCTCCCCCAAATCCCTTTGATCTGCCCTTGACACTCCTCTATGGATCAATCCACTCTTTAACCTTTGAATAATAATTGCATGCAAGTCTCACAATATTGACATGCATGCATACTGCTACTTCAGAAAAGGCTGTAGATCCTTTGGAGTTTTTTGTGTACAAAGAGATGCTATAGACACTGAAATAATATATATAAAGAGAAGCCTTAACTGCCACTGGCATAAATAGAGATACTTCAAACACTTTCATGTTTCCCAACCTCATCCTGCCCACTGCATCCGTCTGAGTGCAAGGAGAGAACATGTAAGGCCATACCCAGCCATTTTCCCACCAAGACTAATAGGCAGAAATAAGGGAACTTTAAATAATGGTCGACAACCTAATGATTACTAGTGACAGCCAGCAATTCAATCTGCACTGGGATGTTTCACTGACACTTACAGAAAACAAGATACAACAGCAGACCCGATGCCCTTTTGCACAAAAGCATTGTTTTCTAATTTATTAAGAATGTATATTTTTGCTTGCATGAGCTTCACAGAAACAATACAGAACATTTACACTTCATCGAGTAACAGGATCCCAAATGTTTATTATTGAGGCTGCCTGTTGGATTAGTCAAACCTCACAATTAGACAGTAGCTTTCAAATTTAAGTTAGGGCCTTAATGTGTCAACTTTGCATCTAACCGTGTTTTCTGAATACAGTAATAATTGGAATGTGAATTTACAAATGCATGATTGAAAGCATTTATTTTTTAATTGATGCATCAGAAGTTTCTGGTGTAAGGCCAGAGCAGAACTAACAAGGTTCAGAAATGCATGGATTTATGGTTGACTGACAGAACCAAAACTATATGTCCACGTTTTCTCCAACTTCAAAACAAAAATGCTTCATTGTGCAACTTTTGATGAAAAAAACATCATATTTAGTGATAGATAAGTGCTGTGATGATTATATATAGTTTTTTCTTTCAAAAATCAAAACAGTCATTTAGAGCAGAACAGGCTGACAATTTTTATTCTTGTCTCAGTTGATCCTCATAAAAAATATGATTAAAAATACATATTTTTGCGCTTTGATTAAAAAAAGTTTCATAAATGTTGAACTGTGTGTTGAAAATGCAGTTGGTTAAAGCAGGATACATTTTGACAAAAGATGATTAAATGCAATTCATATTTCTTTAAAAAAAATATTTTTTGGGACCAAATAATATTTGCCAACATCAGCATCATAAGTCACTTTCAGTATAAGGGAATATCTTCTTAAAGTCCTCTATTGAAGGAAGTGTGCCACAAAACTGAATTAATTGTATTTATCAATTGTATATGTATAATGGTAGAAGATGATGCCGGGCAAATGATGAATAAAAATCTTCAAGATTATTACCTATGTCACAAGACATATGTCCATCTTTATTACCAAATGATTTCATAAAAATAAAGTAATATTTGGAAAAAAGCAAAAAAATCTATTTCAGTGAAGCACACAACAAAAGAAAATCAAAATTGCTTTATGGAATCCCTGAGACTCTCTGAGACCTCCATTTTCCAAAACACTTTGGTATGCACCACTGCAAAGAGTTCCCATTGGCTCATCGATGGCGTGCCACAAGTGTGACCTGGCACAGACTCAGCCGGCTTGCGATAGCCCGTAGGGATGCTGCCGGGTGTTGCGGTGTGAGGGGTTCCCAGGCTGGCAGACATCCCAGATGAAGAGGGGGTGGTAGCATGACTGGTTCTGTTGCCTCTAGGAGCAGGCTGTGAGATAATGCAGCGCTGATTAACTTCCTGTTCTCCTGGCCTAACGACCAGAGGCACCTAGGCCTTGACAAGAATAAAGTGACTTAAGAAAAAAAGATAGGAAGGGGATGGGGCTGCTCTTCCGCTTTGCAACTTCTGTAATTTAGCAGTGAAAAAAGCAATAAGACACTGGAAATTCAAAAAAGCACGACTACTTTATTGACAGAGAAAGAACAAAAATGCATGGGGAATACGTGAATTTGGTAAGGATAAGTGGGTACTGCTAATTAACTCATAGTAACACTACTTTCCTCCTTGTGTTTTTAACTAAATTACAACGGCGATTAAATTAATTCCTTTTCTTCCCCTGCGCTCATTTTGGGAGGGATAAATGGCAACAAGAAACTCGTTCAGTGACCTCTGTGCCTCTGAGGAAGCCAGCCTTTTCATCACTCTTGTCTTTAAAATTGAGCCAGAGCTTCTGTCTCAGTGGACAACAATAATATACAGGGCCACATGGCCTCGTATTAGGAAGAATCCAAACAAAACAACTACAGACTACAAAAAAGTACACCTCTACCTCCGGCATTTTGCTCCCCCCTCCCTATCTGAACAGATGCCAGGGATTATTCCAAGCCCCCGACCAGCCATAAAGGTGCAATAATCTTATGGCGAGGAAACAAACAAAAACAGACGTGCAGCCATTAAACAGCTGCAAGGAGACAAAGTTTGCATGGGGCGGCGTTATGAGAGGCTAGCGCGCGTTCAGGTTGAGCAAACACGCTTGAGGGTTAGCGCAGAAGGTGGAGAGGAGGGGGGGAAATGCGTAAGCAGCACGCTGAACACTGATGGTGCATCAAAGTCAAAGCAGCTGCCGTCAATAGGCTCTGAACTCTATCTGCTGACCTCGCTGCCTCTAGTCTGCTCTCCGTCACTGGGGAAATATTCAGCGAAGGCTCTCTGAACACACACCTCCTACCTCACTTGGCCCTTAAAGTTAGAATCCACCTCATGTAAGATTGTTTGAACTTCATTTCGTTATGCCTCAGTCATCCCCTCTAACATTATCCTAACTAAAGCTTTATCTCCAGTTGTTGTTCTCCACATCCATGCAAAGCGGATCTATATGAAGACGAAATCAACATAAGCTTGCGGCAAAATAGAAGCAGGGACAACAGTTAGTACAACTGACAAGGTGGTTTTCAAGAAAGGGGGCCTTTCATTTTCCGGAGGAGACGACAACCTGAAACTGTTTGTTGTAAGTGAGCCGTCTCATTTGTTTCTTTTGTCTCGGCAAAAGCTATGACACTCTGTTAGCAGCGGCGGCCGCACCTGAACATGACGGAGCAGTTCCAGAGCTGATGGAGACGGGGAGGCACAAGTGTTTGTTCTTCTGTCTGCCATGCCAGAACCAGGTCTGATTACTGGTTACCTGTCTGTGCATGGCACTTCATTAACATGCTTTCAGGAGCTGTCGCTCTTGCGCTCATCAACATGTTCTCTGTTCTCATATCCTACACACGTGCACGACAACTCCACTCGAGGATCTGTCTCTTTCCCATAGACGCAGAGGTGAAAAGGAAAGCCACCGTGAGAAAATTTCCGTTCTGAGATGACTGGCTTTTACTGTCTCGCTTTTCAAATGATATTTCCACTCTGAAGGTACAACATTTCCTCCAGAGAAAATCATCTTTGAAGCGTCTACCTATTTGAAATCAGAAATGACACTGAAATATTCATCCCCATTTTATGTCTTTGCATCAAGTCAGGATGGTAGGAGCGGAGGGCAATACATTTTCAGGAAAACATGCATGTTTGGGTTCATCCCATATCCTAATATTATTATGTTTTATGATGACTTCCGGAGAAACTGCTCCTGAGTCTGATCCGATGAATTTTCCAACGTCTGTACACTTCAGACCTCAAAAAATATCAGTAAAAAAATGTGGTTCTAGTTTGATGGACATATTCCAATGTAGATTTACAGTCCCTGGATGACCAGAGCGCTCTCTAGTTCTATCAACACCAACTTTGATTTATGTAACAACAAAGAGAGGTGTTGAGAGGAGCAACGCCTCAGCATTTGGATGACAAGCCTCGTCCCTCGAGACAACCGCCACTGTGCCATTAGACGGGATAGATGAGTCTTTTGGCATTATCTGAGGACAGATCAGACACCTGTCTCAAAACAAGATCCATAATGTTTCTGCTTTCCTTATACAACTTGGGCCTTTAAGTGGAGCAAAATAAAGTGAAAGCACCTCACAATTTGAACGAAAGACATTTTCAACCTTGTTTTAAAGGTCACACACTAACAGTTGTCTGTCAGAAATTTAGGATATCACTAAATAGGAATTCCATTTAAAAACAGTAATATATTTTCTGCTAATTGTGATTATTTGGTCTTAAAGAATAGCATTTTTTTTCTTAGACAATTTTAAAATAAAAAAACGCATATTTAACCAAAAACTACGATGACTTGGCCATTGTCCAGCAGGAAGTTGCTGACATCATCCACCTAGGAAGGTAATTCACAAAAGGTTGTTGCTTAACTGCTCTATTGGAAAATTAACTGAGAGGAAAACATAGGAGAAGGTAATGAGGCAAAATCCATTCAAGATTTTGGCAAAGACATCAGAAGGGTCTCACCTGGACTAGGAAGAAAAAGCAATGGATTTTCCTCAATGCTTCAAAGCTCTCTTTTAAGTTTTACATTTACAAATCAACGTCCCAGAGTTTGGTTGAAGTCCAGTCTAAAGTTTCCAGTCAGTGATAACTTGGGGAGTAAGTGATAACTTGGGGAGTAAAGTCATCTATTCCACCTTGTTTCATCAAGTCCAAACTCAATGCAGTAGTAGTAATTGTGGGGTACCACTTGCTTCTCTCTGCTGACA